CCCCAAAACCCCAAAACCCCAAAACCCCATCCAGTTATTATAAAAGAAATTATGAGGTAAAAGTAATAATATTATGCTCAAGATAATAATAATATTTAAATTCACCTTCTATATGTCGTAATCAAAAACTTGAAACTCATCTTAACCATTTTAATGAACACTTTAATGATTGTGAAAATTACCAAAAGCAGTAGTGAGTAAGCCACAAGATGAACGTCCATATCAATAAATCTATGAATAGCCATTTTAGAGAACTACTTTACTCTAAACTACTCATATCCAACTTCAAATGCATAATCAATCCAATACTCAAAGTCTTAATCATCTTAGCGCTTTAGCTTTATTGCTCCTGAAAGCCCCTTAGTATTTTCTTTAAATTATGGATTTTTATCTATTTAATCAAGAAGTGAAGGAATCTTTAGCATGTCTAAGCAGCATAGCCCTCTACCATTATTCTCAATGTTATGGCAGTTCATGTCTTAATCGAAAATGTATCTTGGGATAATAATCATTGGTACTTATGCCTCCATTGCTTCTTAAACACTATTTGATCCTCCATGATTTATGAACACCTTTGTTTTAGGATGTTCGAGTAGTGTTTGCTAAGGTACGAATCTCATCTGGATAATATTAGGATATCTCTTGAAGAAGGCTTCTCTCTCATTTTTATTTATGGGAAGTGATTCTACTTAACTGGCATAAACGAATGCCCATCCCTTATTTGACATCTGCTTCATAATTTGTAGCATTTATTTAAGCTGATATGGCAAAAGTGAACTAGCTGTACCGAATGCAATCAATGCTATTTTATTGAATCTATGATAGAATTTCTATAGCTCTGGTGAAAGCTGTTTATCTCTCTCACTGATTTGCTGCTTGAACTTGGGAAATATGTATTTGACATCTGGGGAAATAGACATTGGAGGATTGTTACCCTCTACATTTAAGATGAGAGTCAAGTTTTAGTATCTATTAGGGGTAATGATTGGCTAAAGATTTTCTGGTAAAGTTTCATAGAGTTGATACACCAAAATCCACAGTTTAATTGTGTGCTAAAGCATCGTTGTGGCTAATACGGTTGATCTCTCAGCAAATTAACCTAAATGTCTCTGATACTTGAACACAAGATATCTGACTAGATTAAAATGACTTGAGTGAATAAATGGCTCTGCTGATTTGACTGCCAAGTCTTGTTCGATTGCTCCATTCATCAACTAAACTGCAATAGGTATTTCTAAGTAGTTTACTATAAGTTACTGATAAAGCATGTGCTCAAATATAATCATGTCGTAATTCTGATCCTTTAGGTGAGAGAGAAACGAAATCTAGTCAACAAAGACTTAGTTCACATAGTTCATAGCGATATTCCACATCTTCAAGCTAATTGGAGGACCTTGAGTTTGCTCTTATTGCCTTTGATTCCATAATTACAATTACTCCTTAGTCAAAGGAGCCATCAAAGCCACAGTGACTTTATTTTAACGCAAACTTCTAATCATTTACTAATCGAAATCAAATAATACAATAGTCACATTGTACCCACGTTATTAAAGACTTATAGCCACGCCTTGATTTATTTTCAAGTGACTTGTATTTTTTATTCCATGAATCAAAATTTTCTTCTTGGTAGTTTGCTACATTTAGCTTTAAATCACAACAAGAAAGAAGAAGATCATTAATACTTTTAATATCTTAAATGTCTTCATTATTATATTTAACTAATAATTATAATTAAAAATATAATTAATGTATGTGATGGGGTTTTGGGGTTTTGGGGTTTTGG